GTTATAGTAGTCCCCACACACTGTGGGATGATCCGTGAATAACACCGACCGATTCATACAGGTATTTCAAGAATAACTAACCTCCTGCAATAATTCGCATTGTGACCAGGACTGAAGAGAGATATGACGATGTATGTACTCTTCTGTCCTCAATCTCGGTTAGTGGGAAGAGATCAATTTGTACCCATGCCTCTTCAGCCGATTACCTTAACAATCATGGGAGGTCTAAGATCGTCATACATCATGAGGCAATCTACTCAAACGTATTGGGTGGTGATAGCAGAGCGTTTTACAAGTTGTCTGGAAGAGGTTGTCATTCCTAATCAACTCTAACGGACTGTAGAGGAGGGGGTAACTCAGCATCTTGTGTCGAGGTGTTTACGTCCCACCTAGGTGAACTACTTATCGCAGTCATTTAGGGCAGAATGACCTAAATAATCTAAGTTCACTTAGCTTATTCTAAATTGAGACCACAAACTGACGTTTCTTTTCAGTCAGCGCAACGGCAAAGCACACATGTATTTGTAATCATGAGTTCCTTGAACGACTACAAAACGGACAAATTCACATCTCAAAACCCAGTTCTCCTTCTTTTATCAGGCAACCATATCAGAACACCTAATGTTCACATGTAAAAGGAGTATACAGTTTTAGTTCAGTAACATGATAAGTCGCCAAATCGATAAAGTCATCATGGATCGCCTCCCACTAGGCCCAATGCTAGCTAAAATACGTATGTTGGACCTGGAACAGACAAAGTCAAAGGAGGAGATAAAGAAAACTGTATTCTGTTTTGGGTAGGGCTCTGATGTCTGTTATTTATGTTGACAGTTATAAGTGGTATGTAACACAGAAGTGGAATGCATGACATGGTTTTCATATTTTAGGCAAGCACTGTGTAATTTTATATTATATAATAAATTTGTTTTCACCGCTAAGGCTTCTTTTACTAAGGGGCAACGTTAACTTTCGTGCTTGTAATAATTAGAAACATTCTACACATCTACTAAAACAGGTAAACAAAGCACGTTGAGAAATAGAACTAACTAAAAAAACATGTGGATTGACGGAAATCCGATTTTACAATTGTTGAAATTTAATGAAATCCAAAGAGAAAGACATGGAAATGTATTTGTTGGAAAGATGTATCGAGTGGGTTTTTACTAACTACAAGAGTTCTTGTCAAATATGACATAAAAAGACAGTACAAAACTTTTTGAAATGACCATATGCTTTCCAACAAGGTGAGGTCAGACGATAAACATAGTTATTAAAAAACGTCTATGTAAAATTACACTTACGAAGAAACCCATACAGAGATATTCTTAAACTGAAGGAACTGAAAAGAAAACCTTCCTTCATCTCCGGTTCAATGGAAGTGAAATTAGTTGGAAACATAGTCAGGGAATAAATGCTGAAATAAAGATCGATCATTAAATTAAAGGACCAGTCAATTTGTATGAAACAAACACTATCTAAAACAAACAAAATACGATCCCTCTTTCTTCATTGCCTTCAGCGTTAAGTGTCCGTTTGTAAGTGAGCGTCAAAACGCGAAATGGGGGAACGGAGAAGTAAACACCTGCTCATATTTATCAGATCTCACGAACATTTGCTATCGAGGGGTTGAACAGCCATTAGAAAATGAGATTGTTCCAATTTAATTAGTAGTAGAAATGACACAGGTTTGGTATTCCTTTGAAATAATTAGCAGATAAAATAGGTCATTTGCTTATCGTTTCGCTAAGACGACAGAAATTCATCTTCCTATGCAGTTTGTTGTTATTTCAATTACTCAGAAATTATATTTTCATTCACTGGCCTACTTTTGAGAAAAGGTTAGCTGTACATACGGTACCTTTATTCATATTTCGCCACTGTCAAATTTTTTCATAAGAATTTCCAATGTATTTTACAACAAAATCATTTATTTTATAGGAAGTCTGATTTGTATCTTGTTTATCACACGACTATTTGGTATCCAACTTGGCACTTTAGCTTTTGGTAAGTGACGTAACACAGTCGAACAAGTGACATGAGAAAACGGTAAGTGATCTGACTTTATGATGTAATTTATATACCATATTAAAGTGATTCCTTAAAATACCTGATCTAGCCAATGAGGAAACAAGAAATCCACTACGTGAAGCACTATTTATAGGTGATACTTGTTATACTCTCACTTTTGTAACTGATGTCAGGCTGACTATCTTCAACAAAAGTGGAAGATCTACAATTTTAATTGTTTTACTGATCACTCAGTGTCAGAGGTGCATATAAAAGTCGAATTATTCATGGAAATCAGGCTACATTTGTAACCTGTGACCAAGATATTGTAACGGATTAAAAAAGGAAGCATATTTGAAGTTAGAGTTCAGAAAGAAATCGTCGACGAAGATTATAACGTAACGTTTAACGTTCATCAGCCAAAAAATTAAAATGTTAGGTATTGCATTTATATTGGACTCAGAGGCAGATGAGCTGAAGTTGTAAATGAGATCTCCCTGACTTATTCATTATAGTGGGACTTCACGAATAAGTAGCATACAACAACCTCTAAATAATGTCTTCAGGAAACCTTCAGCAATTCCTTTTAGACATGCTTTTAGACAACAAGTTGCTAGCACTTTATTGGTAGATATCACGAATCAATTGATGCTAGACCACCATTAAAAACCTGGAAGCAGTAAACGGTCATTTCGCTCTTCAGTTGTGGGCGTCCACGATCCCGCTCGCGGTATTCAAACCAAGGTTTTCAATCATGGTCCAACACCAATCGGATCATAGACTCAATCAAAAACCGAACAATTTCCACAGCCCCATATTTTATCGATAGTTCGTTGTTCGTAGTTTGTTTTAATTGTCCGTATAAGAAATAGCGTCCTACCAGAACATCACCACCGTGCTTCTCGGGATAACACCCGAAAAGTTGCAGGTCGAAGAGTTTCCACTTTTTCTCATCAAGAGTTGCCTTCACTTAGAATGCTCTTTCAGCCGAAGTGACCACAGCCTCTTTAGTTAATAGTCTCAAGGTGAGAATTGAAAAACAAATACTCACCTATGGTTTACTCTCTCCCTCTTGGTCTAATCTTCCATGGTGTATGTCTCGTAGCTTATCCGGCATTTTCAATGTCATATATTGTTACTTTATTCTTATATCGCCTGCCATCATTTCCTTTCCCCCTTTCACTCTTACATTTCAGTCCTCTCACACTGTCTTCTTTACAAATAATTAAATTATTTACCTACTTTGTTCTCAAAACACCCGTCTTCTCTTTGATTTTGCATTTCCTCTGTATTATTTTTCCTATTTCATCCAACCAAAATTCCGCCTGACAGTATTGAGGATGATACAGTTATTCAGTTAATAAAAAGGTTATAATACTAGATTACGTAATATGAATAATAATAATAACAATAGATTTAGTGATTATAATAAGATGATTAAAATGATTAAAGCTTAAACCAGAACTATGCGTACAAAAGAAGTACGTCTTATCGTTATCGTTACCTTGGCTTTAAGTATTTTGATTATCCAATTATTATTATTATTATTATTATTATTATTATTATTATTATTATTATTATTACTGCATTCTCCCCTTTACTTATATCTTATATTCTGATTGTTTTATTAGTGAATACTCATCATATCACCATATTTATTTATTTTTACACCTCTATGACCTTTAATTATTATTATAACAAAAACATTTTAATCATTTTAATCATCTTATTATAATCACTAAATCTATTGTTATTATTATTATTCATATTACGTAATCTAATATTATAACCTTTTTATTAACTGTGTTCACATTTCCTCACGGAATTAGTACTTTTACAAAATCAAAAAATTTTTCATATATATACGATTGTACAGCTTGATAATAAATTCGTTGAAAAGAGATCCCTTCGCATCCAACTTTTAAAAAACAGTTATTCAGTGTTTGACAACGCTTCTACCAGTAACACCTAATATACTTTGTTACCACCGAGAGAAATCAAAAGACAGAGTCGAGGAGATCGGAAGAGTGTATTTGGCGATAACCAATATATCGGAATTCTCTGATCTAATCTGACTAGCGATTGCGGTAAATGTTGCGCACAGCGTTGCCACACGTGATCTGGTGCGGATGCATGACCGAGCGCCTTTAGCTAGATAAGTCCACTGAAACAAATGGTCAGCATCCAATGTCGAAAACTTACAGAGCTATTTAGTTTTGGGGATTTATTTACCGCTACAGTATGTTAGCCGCTTGCATTGACAAACCTCGCTGACCTGAAGCAAACGCATTGGCTTAGATTACATGATGGTAAACCAACTGATAACTACCAAACTGGATGGAAATAGTGAACTCGAGTGGCTAGACTAAAAGATACGAGATCGTACTTAACGCCTGAAACCTTGATAAAGAATAAGAAGCAATCACAGATAAATTAATCGTTTTTTACAAGCTCGTGATAAAGATACTGGATAGTGGATACATCGAATATATTGGAGCATTTAGAACACATTTAGATTTTGGGGTTCAGGCGGCTAATCCTTGTCCCTAGCAACAGGTAGATATAAAAGAACAATTTTAATGATGAAGCACTGAAATGGTAACAAGTCTCTCTGGCCTATCTTGTAAAAACAAACTGATACTCCCAAACCTATTTCTGTTGTCTTACCACAGGTTACGGGTGATATAATACTCGCTTACTGTATACTGCAATAAGTCTTACCTTCTACTTCCGTTCAGGACTGATCACTTTAAGGACGTTCTAAAAGATTTCAAAGACTGGGATCAAATTTTTTACGTCTGAAGTCCCGTTTCTCACAGTGAGTAGCAAATTAGTGGAATTATCTACCAGAACTCGTAGTATCATTACCTTCTGCTGTAACATTCGAAGCCTAATCGTATCTTCATAGTACTACAAACTGAAAGGAATTCTATAGGTCGATAGACCCCTTATCATCACTGCTGAGAACCGAAGGCTGTTTATCTGTATCATATCAAGGTTATCGGAACAAGCGATGCTCCAAAAATAGGTAATTATCATGCTTAAATGGTCCAAGTAAGTTCTGAGTTTCGGGACATTATTATTGTGTTAATCCGTGTCTAGTAGGTTTCCTAGTTTACACAATTCCCATAAGTGAGCAACATTGCAAGTGCGACTTTTTGGGTATTATATCCCCTAAAATGAGTGATGAGTCTTATAGGATTTTATATAATGATATGGCTCATTTTGGTTTTTCTCCCACGTTACTAGTATCGGTGGTTGGGTTATTCTGAAGCCTTAAAACGAATTTATAGTAGTTGATGAGCTGGAATATTTTAGCGATACAGGTCTTTCTTATAGTTTTCATAAATCCTGTCAACGGTTTTTGTGTTTGTCAGGTTGTTGTAAAACTAACCAAACTTTCCGTTAGACATCAATTGTAAACCATATATAGTGTTTACTCTAAGTCAGTCTTTTGATCCGTGTGTTTGCCAAGCTAATGCACTTTGTGTTCAAAACTATTTAAGATTTACTCAATTTCCGTAGTTTTTGATTTTCGAAGTATTGACATGCTAGTTGTCCTAAGAAAGTAGTTACCCTTCTTTACAATCACAGACACTGATCTATTGTTTTTAGCATTATTATTCCTAACCTGAGGTTTGATTTTTCATCTCGGCTGGTTTCAACCCGTAACATGAGAAGTCCTCAATCATCACTTTCTACTCTTCCACAAATTCTAACCTCATGTTGTTCAAACATAACAGAACAAAAGCTAACTGCTTCTTCACAGTTTGTTTTTGGCTAGCCCGATTGTATTCTTGCTTTAAGTCGAAGACTTGAAATAATGTGACCTGATATTTAGGTACAAGTCATGTACTCAGTTGGGAGCCAAGATTCTGTGTGGTGATAGGTGATACTTCTAGACTGCCCTACCTGAAATAGATTTAGCAGGGTTTGAGTCTAGGATATAGTGGCTAAAATTTGGGTGCTTTGATTAGATGACAATCAATCAGCCCAGATAGTAGCTCAGTTCTAGTTATTGACGTCTCAATCACCATAATTGATCCATGTACATTTCATCAGTTGGTTTATCCACTTTGAGTATTGCATGTATGAGAGACTAGTTCATAGTTTTTATTGATAGCATAAGTGTCTAATTCGTTAATATATCAAGAATTCTGTCAAATTAAACAAAACGATATTACTACGATTGAATATGAGACATTCGCACAGAAGGGGATTAAAATACTTCTGAGGCATAGTTTGATTAAAAATACAACCAAGGTTTATTTCGTTGCTATTAAGTCCACCTTACTGGTGTAAAAAGCAGCTACAGACCGATTTGCACCTACAAAATCGACAAATAACACGCGGTTCAAGCGCCGCCAAGATGACTTCTGTTGAAAATGACCAATCTAACAGTGTTTCTAAATTATTATTATTTTATTTATTATTTCAACACATAGATAATGGTACAAAGAGGCACCAAATACATATGCGCCACACAAATCTCATCCGATATGTGTGAGGGCTGTGATACTGCCCGGGTGCCCAAACCGAAGCAGGTGGTTTTCTTAGGGAGCCACACCCCGAGCCTTCGACCCAAAGGTCTGATCCACAAGGCAGTGGAGCATCGTAAGGAGATGCAGTCCCATGGAAGCCGGTGACCAACAATTGGTTCATTCGCCATTTGTTCCCGCAGGATACAGGAGCCCATGTGCACCATTGGTTTGGAATCCGGTTAAAGCGCCGGACGTTCGCTTTTCGTCCTCTCATTTTCGTAAACAACACCCCCGCCACGAGAAGGCAGTGAGTAGGACTTCCCTGGCAGAGGCTATAGTGTTTCTAAATGAAAACATCTGTTGGATCATAACCTCGAATACATCCAAACACGTTGGAAATTTTTATTTCTATGTACACTGAGTTACTATTAAATCCAAGTAATTCTTCAATGATGAGATGCAGAAATATCGGGCTTATTTTTAATCTACTTAGTGATAAACTCTGCTTTGATTTAGTTGCATATCAAATAACCTGTTCTTACCAATTTAGTCTGGATAGGCTTTAGAAATGGTAAAAGTCAACTCCTACATACATGATAAGCTTTTCGATTCAACAATTGCAAAATGGTTTGAACTGTCACAGTATTAATGTATCAAAGTCAGGTATGGTATCAACTAAATGGTTACTGGTTTCTAATTTTTCTGTGAATTCTCATAATACGAATCCTGGGATATTAAAAATTCTCTCCAGAAATAGAATCGTTCGGTGCAGATCCTCATAGAAAGTCAACCAGTCAGTCGCAGCGTAGAACCTGACACCTGTGTACATTGGTACAAGTTGCCATTTCCATTAGTAGATAGAGATGAAATTGTCAGGAAAAATCCCAGTATATTGGAAGTAACAATAGTACTAGTGATAACAGAAAAGATTAGGCATCGGAGGTGCAACTCAAGAAAATAAAAATTTAGTGAAATATAATAATTATTGGAAATTTAGAAGCTTAGAATCTAAGGGGAGACGGAGAATGGATGAACCTGCGCCATCTCAAACGATTTGGACCCATATCATTCAAAATCTCTAACCATTGATTACGATAATCACACAGTTCTCAACCAGGTAGTTTTCACCTGTTAACATAGCTTATTCGTCAAAGTAGGCGGTGGTTTAGCATACGTAATATGCGTCTAAACCATCCCATTTGATGAGAGTTTACTGCTTCATTAATCGGGTTGCCATATTTACTTATTACAGTGTCTCTATCCAGTCACTGCTTACTTGGTGGTCCCAAAATTTACGAGCAATGACCCAAGACATCTATGATCTAATACTGTTAACCTACAAATATCTTCTACTTTCAATAGTCATGTTTCACACTCATAAATTAAAATAGATGTGAAGACTTAGCTGCATTAACGTTTTACTTTTTAACTTTTGCCTAAAAATTATGTAGCACATTAACCAAATTCCTAACCTTCATTGTGTTTTCCTACTAAATGATTCAACCAATATTATTAGTTTTACAGAATTCAACCTGTTCGAGAAAATTCAAAATTTAGTACACAAGTAACTCTAGATTATATTTATATTCAGACCGTATTAACAAACATTTTGTTGATCAAGTTCATTTTCTATTGGTCTCTCTATGAACCTATCATCACTTAACTTGTTATTAACTTTTAGGGATAAAAAAGATGAACAACCTACAGATTGGCCTAAATATGCTGAACATTTAGAACATTGTGTTGACGATGTACGACGTGTCGCAAGTGATGTACACAGAGGTCTAGTTCAAAATGTTCTCGTCAGTAAGAAAAATGTATGTTACCTTGTTTTATAAGACGTTTTATGTTTACCTCCAAACTGTTCACGATTTTAATAAAAATTCTGAAACGATTTTATAAAAACAGTTACCGCGAAACTTTTCTATTCTACAAACTACTTTCCCCATTTTCGTTTGCTTTGTATAGATTATCTTTTTTAGTCCATCTAGTTATCGTCTCGCCATTTCTTAGTGATGCATAAGCTAGTCTGTGACTTACTCGTTTTCCATCCGTTAATCTACAAATTTTAAATCCGCTTTACTCATTTCAATTATGTCAGCTGGATGGTAAATATGACCCCTACACAAAAGTGTGGCTCAAAAGTGGAAAAACAGATAACTTTGAAGACAACACAAGTGTACACCAGTTGGTATGATCTACATCTCCATGGCCAGAAAAAAAATAAGAGGGAAGACAAATAATTGAAGGTAATGGTTAGTAATAGTATTGTAAACTAAACAAGAAATGCAGTTCAAAAGTAACAAATAAATTCGAGGAATAAAAAGTATGAAAGGATGTTCAGCTCAAGATGTAGGAAAAGATTAAAATAAGTGTATCTGTACCAAAGGAATTCACTTTAAACCATGCTGTATAACATTTAATCATGGACTACATCAAACTTGCAGGACCAAGAAGTGTTCATGTACGTGCTACACACCTCGGAACAGTGACTCCATAGACCTAGAGTTTCCTAATCTACTTTTGTTCAAACAGGATAACCCCTAAAGTTAGCGTCTGAGGATGTGCATCACATGCCTCAACTATATTAATCGATGCAAGTTCACAACCTAATTAACAAATATATCATTTGTATTGTAGTATGCTATATACAACACCACTACTCATTTGGTGGTCTCACTATGCAGACGCGTGCATATAGTCATTGCCAGGGAAGTCCCACTGCCTTTGCGCGGCGGAGGAAATTGAGAGGACAAAAAGCGAATGTCCGGCACTTAGATCGGGTTGGCGGGTACGGAGGATCCATTTAGGGGAGTTGGAGATCCTTATTCAAACCCAGTGATGCGTATAGGCTCCAGGATCCTGAGGGAACAAATGGCGTTTGAACCTATTGTTGGTCACCGTCTACCATGGAACCGCATCTCTTAACGCTGTTCCACTACATTGTGGATTATACCACTGAGTAAAAGGCTCGAGGAGTGGTCCTCTAAGAAAACTAAATGTTTCGCTTTAGGCACTTGGACAGTATGCCATTCCATAAAAAAACTGGGTAATAACTGCCTCGTTTGTCGCACACATATTTTGGTGCCCCTCAGTATCAATGCCTGTATGTCTAAACAAATAAATAAATAAGGTTAATCATATGCTGGTAATAATTTTAAGATACGTATGAAGAAATATTAGCAACTTACTTATATCTTCGATCTTCGAAAGCTATTTTTTATTGCGTTGTCATAATTATTTTAACAATTCAGTGATATTGTTCAAAAAGTTTTGTCGTAATAATCAATAGATCATCATAGATTCGTGGTTGACAATTACGTTATTTCATAATTTACATCACACAACGACCTCAGTTGGACAACCATTAAGAATCAGGGACTGATATACACCCGTTTTGTCTTAGATGGACTTTCCTCATCAGTGGGGTCGTGGTTGCGCATCGTTATGGAGTACCGCACTGTGACGAAACAACTGTTCATTGCCCCCTGGTTTTCACTGTCTGTTCTATTAAGTTCAGTCCGTGATATAAACCATTAGATCTAACTATCTTTACAAACTCTCCCGCAGTAATTACATTGTTTCTTATAATTGGTTACATGCTAAACATCTAAATTATCATGATAGCATTAACAAAAACATGTGTTCAGATTCATATCCGATGATAGTATACTTTAAAGGACCATATATATGTATGCATAATAAACACCTTTTTCTGCTTTAATTGATCGTTCTCTTTGTAGAAAAAGTATCCTGAGTATGTACTGTCAACTATTTTAAAAGAATCCGTCGATAAACCCAATACAGATGACCGACTTTTTGTGTAAGTGCCAATCTTTGACTTCTTACTATAGTACTCTATTTAAAAATTGATGGAACCTTCCATTTAAACTATTTTATTATATGCTTATCTGTTTATGATTTAGTTTGCTGCAAATTGAAATGATTTTAAATAAGTAAAATGTGCTTGCAGAGGATGAAAAAAATCCATTTAGATATCTCTACTTTTCTATTTATAACCAATTTAAATGAGTTTTTTTAAGTGTAAGATAAAGGGTTTTTTAGATAACATGCTGCACTTAATCTTTAGCCAAAGTTAACTGCGGGTAGCTAAAAAATCTAGAACACACGTTTCTTCATGTTTGAGACCCATCATTTGAGTAGATTTGCATCTCAGTATTGATGTTTACACTAGGATTCGAACCTAGTACCCATCGCTTCAATTAACAACATGTCAGCTGAGCTACCGATTGAATATGAACAATGGAAAAACTCAAACCTTTACATATATGTGCTACACTTAATTCGTTTAAAAGTGTTTCATTTAACTTTAATGAAAACAAATTATATTGATCATATGACCAAGTTTTTGGAGTTAAAGTTCACTAATCCAGTTTTTAAAACCTTAGCCCGTAGACTAATAAATTACAGATTCATTATGATAGTGACTGCTTGAAGCAGATGAGTTGTTCATCAATGAAGATTCTAATATTATTGGTTATCATTCTTATTATGTCTAATACAAGTATATATTAAATATACATTGATCAAGAGTACATTCCAAAGATAAATAAAAGTCACTGCAGATGACTGTTCATTTCATAATTAACATTACTGACTGATCTTAGTTAAACAACTACTGAAAATCATTAAGCACTGGACTGTCGTTTCACATTAATATGGGACTCTTTGGGAGTGCATATCCATGAACCCACCACTTGTGATCAAACCTAAGACCCTCAGTGTTGCACGCAAATGCTCAACCTCTAAACCACTGAGCCAGATTCCAATAGTTTAAATGTTTAACATCAACCAATCTGTAATACCGCGCAACCACCTAGTGTACTTGGCGGATCACTGCCTCATACTCAACATAGTCGAACTCCAACAGTCACGACTTCCCAATAGAACGCTGAAATTACTTCTCAAAATTACTCATGCATGATCGATACTATGAGGAGGGGTTACGGAGATTTTTTGAATGTCATTAAAAAACTATTATTAATTCTTAACACAGAGGACACTTTCTATTAAATATTAGTGAAATATAGAAGCTTATTAGAAAGCGGATGGAACTGTTTTCTAGATGATGATGGATTTTTTTAAAGCACTCGGTCATCCATCTGGGGGCTAGGTTACTAGTTCGAACTTCTGTTTGTCCCATTTCGATTAGGACACCGGAGTGGTCCTAGTCCTTACATCAAACACCAGTTGTAACCCCTGCTACCTGGTTACTACTTTAGTCAAGCAATCGATATAATCTGGATTACCCAATCATCCTTAACTTCCTAGTCTCTGTGCTTTTCGTCACAAACTAACGTATATGGGAAAGATGATGTAATAGAAAGATTATAATACCAGATTACATAATGCGAATACTAACAATATAAGTTAGTAACGAATTATAACGTGAATGTAGTAAGATGATTAAAATATTTTTGTTACAATAATTAAAGGTCATAGAGGTGTAAGAAATAAAGTGATATGATGAGCATTTATGGATAAATTAATGAGAATATGAGACATAAGTAAATGAGCAATGCAATAATAATAATTAAGGCCAATGTAACGATAACGATAGGACGTACCTCTTTTGTATCCATATGGAAAAGTCATTGAAGAAAAATAGTTCCATCTCACCTCAAGATTATTCCATTTTACGATGCTCCACTACCTTGTGGGTTAGACCCTTAGGTCAAAGGCTCGGGGTGTGGCCCCCTAAGATAACCACCTGCTTCGGTCTGGGCACCCGAGCAGTGTCGCAGCCCACACGCAAATGATGAACTCTATGTCTATGGTAACTACTTTTCTCGCTCCGAAAAATAATCAGTCGATTCAAATAATTATCATTGCTATTATTGTCATTATTATTATTATTATTATTATTATTATTATTATTATTATTATTATTATTATTATTATTTCCTACATTATTCATCCTCTTTTGTACTCATACAGCGGCTTGTCTTTGGTGGAAATCCGACTGTATCTAAACGTTCTCGAGTCACTGTCCGGTTGAAAATTGTATGTTACCACTGAATATGAGTACTGAAGCAGTTTTTCTGAAACCACGTGCACTATTCAAACTGGCTGCCTTCAACGTTCGCACACTTATGCAGGTTGGACAACAGATAGGGCTGGCTATGTCTTTAGAAAGTCCTAATATCGATGTCTGCTGTCTATCCGAGACCCCCATTCAAGACTCTGGTGATGTACTACAAATTCGCTCTCCATCTGTCGCTTCGAAAAGCTTGTTTTACGTGCACTTATCCGGGGACCCCGTGGCATCTTCGTCTGGTCTTGCTGGCGTTGGTGTCGCACTAAGCGCTAGAGCTGAGGCAGCGATAATCGATTGGATCCCCATTAACAATCGGTTATGTGCTGTTAGATTAGAAAGTTCCATCAAAGTGAGAAGAAATCGGCGTGAGACACGATGTCTTTTCGTCATCTCCGCCTATGCCCCGACAGATTGCAGCCCGGATGCAACCAAGGATGAGTTTTACCACCAGTTATCTGTTCTTTTCTAGAAAGTGCATCCGACAGATATTGTAGTACTAGCCGGAGACTTGAATGCTCAGGTCGGGCGTCTAGGCACAGAAGAGAGTCGTTTAGGTGGCCGATGGGGACTCGTTGGTCTCAGTTCAGATATCGAGGACCGTCTACTGCAACTGTGCACAGACCACAACCTGTTTCTGGCTAGCACTAACTTTCGGCACAGTCATCGCCGATGTGCCACCTGGCGTCCTTCCTCTGCATCCAAAGCCTGGACTAAGATTGATTCCATCGCGATCTGCTACTGCTGGTGTGGTTGTGTACAAGGCTGTCGCTCCTTTTGGAGTACCTATCTGGACTCTGACCATGCTTTGGTCTGCGCCAATCTGACCTTACTTTTCAGTGGACAACGAAGTGACCGCCACCAACGGATTGATGTTAGCAAGCTGGTTGCAACTTCTGTTGCTAGTAAGTATCGAACTGAGCTAGTTTCTAGGCTAGCTACCATTCCACCGAAAAGTATAGATGAGCATTGGTTGCAATTGCATGATGCCATAAAAATGGCGGGAACAGTCAGTTGTGGGTTTGCGAAACGTCCCGCTTATAAGCACTGGGTTTCTTCTGGTTCCTTACAACTCATTGAAGCCCGTCGGTCTACTCCGGGTGACCAAGAAGCCTGGTGGTCGAAGCGTGTTAATGAGTTGGAAGCAGCAGCTGCATTTGGTAATTACCGGGAGCTCTTCCAACTCATCCGAGCCACTGGCAGCAAGAAGTCTGGTGTGAGCGAAACAATCTGTGAGGATGACGTGATGCCAATCACTAACATCCATCGACGTCTTGGACGATGGGCATAATTTTTCGAAGGGAAGTTCAACTGACCTGCTGCTCCGGCAACATCGGTCAGACTGTCCTGCCCTCCATGGCCGGTGACGACTGATCCGCCAAATGTTAGAACACCGCCATACTTATCGAAGGCCAACAATCGTAGTGCTTCTTGACATCAGGGCTGCCTTCGATTTGTTGGACAGGACTGTTCTCTGGGATTGTCTATTGAAGAAGGGTGTGCCTGAGAAGTTTATTAACATCCTAAAAGCCCTATATACAAACACCTCAGGCAGAGTGAGGGCATACAACCACTTTTCTCCATTGCTCTATTCGAACAGTGGGGTTAGACAGGGTTTCTCAATCTCACCATTCCTCTTTAACTTTGCCATCGATGACATTCTGAAATCAGCTCTGATAGATGTAAGTAATGGTGGTGTGGATCTGTTGCCTGGAGAAAGTCTTCCCGACCTTGAGTATCCGGATGATATTGTCTTACTGTGCGATAATGCCCAAGCCATGCAATCCGCACTTAATCAGTTGGCAATCAATGTCCGTAGGTATGGTATGTGCTTTGCACCTTCGAAGTGCAAAGTACTTCTACAAGACTGGCAGGAATCTAATCCTGTACTCACCCTGGATGGTGAGCAGATAGAAGTGGTCGAGGAGTTCGTGTATCTGGGTAGCTGCATAAATGCTGGTGGTGGTGTGAGTGATGAGATCAATGCACGTATAGTGAAAGCCAGAGCGGCTTATGCCAATCTGGGCCATCTCTGGCGCCTTCGTGATGTTAGTCTGACTGTAAAAGGTCGGATCTAAAACGCGTCGGTGAGAGCAGTTTTGCTCTATGCTTGTGAAACCTGGCCACTTCGAGTTGAGGATGTTAGAAGACTCTCTGTGTTCGATCATCGCTGTCTCCGAAGGATTGCTAACATCCAGTGGTAACACTATGTTAGTAATGCAGAGGTTCGGTATCGTGTGTTCGGACACAGAGATGATAATGCAATCGGTGTCGACATCTTGAAACACCGACTTCGGTGGCTTGAACATGTTCTACGAATGTCGTCCCAGAGAATTCCACGTCGTGCATTATTTGCCGACTCTGGGACTGGTTGGAAGAAGCGGAGAGGTGGTCAGTGCATGAAATGGTGTCGTGGTATGAAAGAAAGCTGCAAAGGACTGGCTTCTGTCGGTCCTTCACGACTCCCTGGTTGGGGTCCGAGAGATGGTGGTACACAGTGGCTAGAGACGTTATCAGATATAGCTCAGAATAGAAGCCAGTGGCGATCCTGCTGTAGCCTTTTACTTTCTTCATAAAAAGTGGTTGTGTCTCCCTTAACTGAAAGATTTCTTCTGATTGTACCTTTCCGTTCCCTCATTATTACTATTATTATTACTACACTACCTTACATCAACTTCTTCGTTATTGTTATGTTTTGTTCTTTTTCTTTCTCTTCGAATTCTCATTGTTTTGTGTGTTCAAATAAATAAATAAATAATTCCCACATT